TGCTCCACCAGCTGATCCACATAACATACATCTCAAGCTCTCAAACAAGTACCATCAATGTTTGGAAGGTGACATGGCACACAATTACGCACATGATCCTTCCAAATCACACCATCATGACCCTCCAATACCAAAATTCTAGAAGGTAAAACCTCACATATTCGTAGAATCGTGCGACCAACCGTAACATCCAATGTGGTCAGTGCACTCTACTGCAAGTAAATGTAATCACCAACATGAAATCTGCGAATTGAAGTTCAATATCCACCTCATATAACCAAAAAATCAACATTTTTGCTTTATCTTATGCAATCAAAGATTTTTCAACATCAATAGCGCAATCTATTCCAAATTTTCTTAGAGTTTTTCTTTTCATCAAGGATAATCCTATCAAAAAACTTTGTAATATGTCACAACAACAATTGTGCAATAAAATCCAAATCTTCTTAAAGTTTTGCTTGTCATCATGTATGATTCTACCGAAAAACTTTATGTCATATCAAATCAAGAGTTATGCAACAAATTCCAAATGTAATTTTATCAAATATTTGTGTTGACAAGAAAAACTTTGATAAGTTTTGTATGTTGTTTTTTTTCCCTGACATTAGTATTCTCTTCAAGATTATCTCATTTTTGTTTGTAGCAATTAAGAAGTATTAAAATATCACTCTACACTATTACAATAATATTTATGATATTATTATATCTAACTCTCAAACATTCATCCTCAATTATTTTTGTAAGATTTAGATCATCTAGCATAATCCCATTAGTAAATTTTTAATTATGAATGAATTTTTGATATCAAAAATTAATTAATGCATTTTTTTCAAAAAAAATTATTTGCTTAAATAGTTTATGATATTTTATTCATTACATTAAGTATTTTTATAACTTTTCATATTATAAATTATAATATTTATTTCATCATAAATATTTTGATAGAAAAAGATTTATCAGAAAAAAAATTCTGATAAATCTTTATCTATCAAAAAATATTAATATTTAATCAAAATATGCATAAATAGTTATTTATAATAAATATTATATTCTAAAATTTTATAGTACATTTCTGCAGATTTGAAGAGAACAAAATTCAAGTGTAAAAATCCACATTGAGATGCAATTGCTGTATATAAATCATTAAACCTTTTGCTCCTTGTACGTTTAATCTTATGTTTAGTTTGCTTCATTTTTTTTTTAAATACACCTTTATTTTAATTTTTTTTACAATATACTTGGCAACACAAATCATAAGAAAATAAAAAATAAAAAATGTCATGAGCAACACATGAAACTACATACATCAAAAATTATAAATTTTAAAAATAAATATACATATATATAATATAAAATTTATTTATATCTATAATTTTTTAACAAAACTTTTGTTATTCAGTACGTATGAAGCTTTTAAATTTTACATCAAGTGTTTCATAGATTAAAATTTTGGTCACTATATATATATAACATATTTTTGTTCAATAAAGTAACGTAATTTCTACTCTTCTTCATTAATCTTGATATCATAACATCTGAAAAGGATAGATTAATATAAGTTTTTCATATCAAGCATGTACAAAAGAACCTAATATCTCATACAAATTTTAAAATACAAAACACTCAACACAAAATTTATTTATTTTTGTATTATTTAGACATCTATAGAATGTAATTTCATTTCGTTACTCAACATTTTTTTGTGATTTTTATTGATTCATTCAATGTTACTGAAAACACATTGGCGTGGGTGGTTCGAGCAACAGACTAAAGACCCAAGTGGCGTTCCGCCCACCAGAAAAAAAAAGTTTCAATACTAGCAATTCGAAGCTATCTACTTCAACCAGGTTAAGACTTCCCAGATGTTGTATGCTCATTTGTACTAGGTTAGAAGCCCATGTTTAACACCAAATGAGAAGTATTGACCAGAATGAATAGCGTTACCTGATACTGAACCGTCTAAGATTTGCATGCACATTTCTCCATATTTATTATTTATAGATAATATATTTTCCCGTTTTTGTTTAAAAAATTTAAACTTCAATCTCAAAAATTAAAAAACTTCCCACTTTTGCTGTAATTATGTCACGCTATGTTTGATCGATTTAGAGGACTTTCCAAACTCGCATAGGCGTTGCGCCTTTTATTGTACCATATATACTCGACATGCGGTGGAACAGTGTTTCTCCTTATGAAACTAAGGCTCAAAATCCCCATATTAGATACTTCACATTTGAAAGATGAGCACATTCCGGCCCATGGAGACTGTGGTGCCCACCTTTGTCTGTGCCAGGACTCTTTGATGACAGAGATTGAGCTCTTGGTATAGACATCGTAAACAAAGAGAGTACCCTTTAAGGATCTAAATAAAATTCTGACTAACCATGATATTTGATGTCCACACAGCAGTCCAGAACTGAATCAGGACACTTCACAAGCACATTCTCCACTGCACATATCGGGGCATCTTATCCAGCTAACAAGTAACACATGTAAAGCAGAGATTCATCAAAAGAATAACATGCGAAGACACGAAAAACTATGAGCAGAAGCACGCAGAATAATATGCAATGAGGCATTTCAACTTCTATTTGCCCAGCCGACTCCGAAATTTATCCAGGATTGTTATCAGCATATCATCGATTATCCTACTCAAAAGCTTCTGCAAATCAAAGCATATGAAATAGCGTTAGATGTATGGAGGATTCGACCCGTCTTTCAGGAATAGTCCATAACTGAGAATATGAAAAACCTGCTTTGAATGTTCAGCTGCTCATACATTTGGTGGTAACTATGAACCTATTACCCAACACTTGAAACCGATATATCCACTTTTGTAAATCAGCCGAGACACTAACTTGCTGAATAGGTTCAACGCTGCCAAACAATAAGTTGTTTACTACATGCCGAAAAGAATGTACCAATAACAAAGTCGCACAGAACAATCTCTGCAGGACTTATGCTTTGGTGGTAATTTTCCCAAGGATTTCCTACGAGTTGAAATTGAGATCTCTCTACCTTTCAGACTGCCTGCGATATGCCTCCTGCAGAAAATGCTCATATGCAGCCCAAGAACTACCGGATAAAAGAAAAGCAGATGATTAGCTTTCAAAACTATTGAACATATCCTCTAGACTACAACTGTAACACTGGTAACGACCCAGCACCTCGGGGTCATCGAGCTGGATGATCCAAGGCTCGAAGTAGCACCCATCAATTACTGCCAGGGAGAGAGGCCCGCCCACATTGAGCCATACTATATCATGAAAGGGCTGTATGAGTGCTCGTCATAGACAATGCGACCGACCGCTGATTGTACACCAAAAAGGATATAATTCCTAATTCTAACATTCCAACTAATGATTTACAGCCTAACTACCGACAAGTGCCAGCTAGCCAAGGTACACTTCCTGGTTGTTGGGATTTGGTCTGGGTCGATAATTTTCCATCGTTTGTTGCGTCGGTGCTCTCATGCTTTGTTTGAACATATTCAAACCTGTAGCAGGCATATCATCGGAAAACGGGTTATCAGAGAACATAATATTTCTTCCTAACTAGAAGCACATGACAAGAACTCGTTACCGACGGACATCATCCTTCTTTTGAACCATGCTCGAGACTTGATGAGCTCCATAAACCGGCCGCTTAGACAAGATCTATCGCCTTACGCAGAACTTAAGTATGTGGGAGTTGTAATTTCTAGAGGCAAGCTTATCCTTGCCTTCATTAAACTTCCACGATCAGTGAGTTTTCGAGAGCGAAGGCCTCTTCGTTAAACCGTTCTAATATAATGTTTATAATAATAGAAGCTATATGTTAACGCGAGTCCCCTGTTGCTCCATGTTTATCTCCTGGGATACCTTAAAACTGACCGTTGCTTAAAAATTTGAAGCACATCACTCATCAAAGTGTAATGCTGGAACCACGTAGTCTGGACTTGGCAGAATACACCAAAACGAGTCAAGAACATGAGCCTCGGACGCTTGGAATTGGCTTCCGTATTGTAAATGCTCAAATCAAAGGAGTCTCTGGCAAGAAGTAGCAATCTGAGGTCTGTCATAGTGACTACATTCCTTCCCGTGATTCTATGTCCAATAAGAGAACCAGTTGTAATCTTCACACAACTAGCCTCATACCACCCTCCTCCTTGCGTGCACACTCACGTTACTACCAAAAATATCCGATCATCCAGTTGCGAAAGCCTAACACGCTATAAGCGAGGAGTTGTAAGCAGTCCTAGCTACATCCAGTGAAGCAGAAAAGAGCATAGTATATGCTTAGTAGCGCGAGTTCCGTGCCATCTACTAATCGACACCTGACTGATAACGTGCAAACTGTAGGTCACTTGTGGAAATGTATGTTTAGAGTGCGCTCATTACTATGCAACAAGAGGTACCTCAGCTACCACCGTCCCAAATCGTGACTCATTAGTACCGACTATTACAAGTGACAACAAATCCAGCATCACCCCATATCATTGCCGCTAGTGAAGGAAGTAGACAAATGTGTGCCGACCTAGTGCTTCGACTGCTCCATAAAAACTACTTAGCGGCGAGAAGGGTCTGGGCCGTCATAACTAAGGTACATGGCAAGTTATGCATTTCCTACTTCGCCTTGACGGTCGAGGCGAGCTATGCCAGAAGCAAGGTCTGGTGAGCTCTTATACAAAAGCCTACTGCAAAGTTCTGTATGTACTTGACGCAGCAGTAACTCTAACTGCACATTCAGGAATATGGGAGTCTCCAATAGAGGCTAGAGCTCCGTGTTCTTCCCACTCACACAAAGTGTGAACGTGATCTGGGAGTAAAAGTGAGCGGGACGAGATTCGCTTGATCCACACGGAAACTGGTTGAAGTCCAAAACAAAAGCAACTGTGGCTGAATTGTTGGACACGACTTTTGTGCATCATCAAAGCAATTATGCTGGACGGCAGGACACAGGAGATCCGACGCAAGGTCACGGCAGGGTTGCTAAACTGATAATTACTGTCAGTTACGACACCGGGTATGATCCGTTGTAGTCTAGTTGGTTAGGATACTCGGCTCTCACCCGAGCGACCCGGGTTCAAGTCCCGGCAACGGAAGAGATTCTCAAAATCCTCATTTTGCAGGACAGAAAACCCCTCATCACCCTTCATAGAATCTGATTACTGGATCCCCACGAGTAAGGCGGCATATGAGTTGAATGCACCCTTTGACCCGGTTTCGAATCCCCGCGACGGGAAAATGCTCCTGTATTGCAATGTATTGCAAAATGGCTGATATTGCTGCCATTTTGCAATACCAACCACTTGGATTGGTGGGTTCTGATAACGCGGTATATTGGCTTTACAACCCAAGAATAAGGAAATCCTATGAGACTTTCTACGACAGAATATCGAAAGGTTTAGAAAGGAAAAGCCCTTTTCCTACTGGGGATGCTCCCTAATAAACCTCATGACAGACTCAGATGCTTTTTGAGACATGAATAGGCAGAAACACATTTAAATCAAAGTTAATAGAATTGTGGTGCATCATTATTGTTTCCAGCTGGGTAGAAAGAACAAGTCGTTACCTTCTTCCTCACAAGCTTGAATTTCACGCCACTCTTGCACCAGTGAGCAGCAGCAGCACAAAATGTGCGCCCACATATCATCGCACGTTCCTCCCTGCATACATTGCGTAGTGAGAACTCAATATTGTCGTTGTATCTTGCCCACTGTAACACATAGTAACGAGCTCTGAGACTAAATTCTAACGACCTTCTCCAGCAAGGCAATGACTGCATTTCAATGACGTCGCTAATACTACAACTCTGGCTCCGAAAACATACCATTTCAAATTATATATAGGACAAGATGATTCATATTATAATGCATTCAGGTTTCTCTTTCCATTCTAATGTTATGATAGTTTCAAAGTTATGGTGTGCTACTTCGCAGCGAGATGGCAAACCTCACAACGGAAAAGTAAGTATACCACAAACTAGACAACCTTCTAAATCCTCAGTATTAGATTACATTGCATGGCCATTTTGCAGGCAGTCAAACCGAGAGAAAGAGCGAGAGCAGTACAGGTATGTTGAAGCGCTTCCGCAGTTTCCGTCTGAAGCAGCAGGTGTACAAGCAGCAGCCTAAATACAGCGTATGAAAGGCTAAATCATGACAAGCAGTCTCTTGGGCTGTTGACAAGCACGGCAAGAGGTCAGATTCTGAGGTAAAAAAAATTATCTTCGCCAGTAAGGAGGATAATATTCAACCTCCTTAACAAGAGAATTCGCTTATGATGTACAGAAGCGCGAGCCTAAACAGCCATTAAAAGGGAAGGGTTCAGACACGACAAAGCATATCAGAGATTTCAAGCACGGCAAAACTACTATGCGCTTGTACAACTATTAAGTTCCACAGATGAATTGCGTATGTCTTCGTCCATACATCCAACAAATAGATTCCACAATCGAGTTAAGTGAATTAGGCTTACAGATCTCTCCGTCAGTGACAACAGCAGCAATATTTGTGAACGTGCCACAAGGATAAAGAAATGTTGATATGCCTGTACCATGAAAACAAAAGCATAACCTCACCGTGAAAAAATGATATCAGAAAATCTATGAGCCTTTGCATATGTAGACCGCTGACTATCCATCTGTCCAGTCGCTTCAAGCTCGTACTAAGCACATGAAAACGTCCATTCTCACTACATTCTGAGAAGAAAAAAGGCTAGAAATTCAGATGAAATTAACCTCAAAACAACAGAACTGCCCTCTCTATAAGATGATCATAAGAGCAGTCAAACTCGAAAAAGTCAAATTTAACGTAATACCAGAAACATTGAGATGAGACAGCCAATCATCAAGGATACAACCAGATATAGAAGCCATAGAGATCAGCCATGATTCAGAACCGTACATAGAAAGGGGTCGAACCAGCAATCATAAAGTGAATTGTGCCACTGTCTGGGCAGTCTAGACCTGTCAAACCTTCGAGCCCCATTGTTATTTTCAATAGTCTCCACCGCTGTAGTTCCAACAGCATCCGGCAAGGGCAATTGGGCCACCTGCGAGCTAGTAACCTCGTTCCGTACCACCGGTGAAGGTGGTTTCCGATGGGGAGGAGGATGAGGAGGTTTGGATCTTCTGTGTCTGCATAGAAAACTCCACTCAGTCATGCTAATCTTTACTCTGAAGAAAACAATGGGAATTTTAGAAACTGCTCTTTTCGCTGAGGAGAAGGGTTCATCGCAGGTAACAAAATTCGAGAACTTCTGCTGTACAAATATCATGATCTGGATGTTGAAAAACTTTGAAAAAGACAAGCTTCCTACACAAGTCAATGAATATGTCTGCTAGCAATTGCAGGAAACGTACGTAGGGTCTGGTAGTTCCGAATTATTCACATGAGCATGATTCGCATGATTTCCGTGATTTGCATGAGTATGGTTGGACACATGCGGAACAATGGCGGTGTTGGGATCTATGTGCTCGACGTTGTCATTTTCTAGCGGCTGATCTTCCGTCGGAATGACGCTCACTTCCTCCGTAATTTCAATAAGATGCTCTATGACATCACACTGATCCAACTCCATTCTCGCTTGCATCTGCTGCAGCTCAAGACGCAGCTTCTCATTCTCTTCCCGCAGAGCTCTTTCCAACCCCAACCCTGGATAGCTCCTAGACAGAGACCTCTGTAAGATAGCAGAATCTGCTATCGTCCTGTCATCTTTCAGAAGAGTCGTATATATCGTCTTTTCCTCGTCATCCATCGTGTAGTCACGCCGATCCTTCTCAATAGCTCGCAGTTTTTCCTGAAATACCCGCTCGACACTCAAGTATCAGACCCAATGTACTAGGCTTCCAATGAGCACAGCGAGCTCTCCTGATACGATACCCATATCGCTGCTACACTCCCGGGCATGTGGACCAGCATTGGTAATGTTGCACCAGAGCTGTCAACCACTGCACTGGAGCCTCTGTCGTGCCGAAAAGATGAAAAGTTTTCGAAGACATACAGAATAGAATTGAATAATAAGAATAAGCATTTCTGGTCGATCTCTGATCTGAGACAGCTGAGTATCACTATACTGCACAGGTGGAGTGGGAGAGAGGAAAGAGTACTTACTCGATGATTTTCCACCAGACTGATAAGAGGAATGAGTCGCAGATACCTGTCAATCTCATACTGATAGTCTTTGAACTGATTGACGATGTGCCAACCCATGGCAATCAAGTACAAGTAGCTCTTATCTCGGCAGTTCTCAACCAAAGTCAAGGCCCTCTTCAAGCAGCGCTCGAGGTGGTCCAGGGGCTCCCGAGTGTCCCTGTACTCGGGATACTCGTCCACATCCTGAGGTTTCAGCTGCTCCAGCAGGTTCGCAATGAGCTTCAAATGCTGCGCGAACTGGCGACAGTTCCTCTTGTGCATTCGAGCATTGCTGGCAGCTGCCACTATGGAGTATATGAGCTTCAAAGAAGCCGAGATCTGAACAACATTGGCAATCTCTCCGAGCACCACCCATTCCATGACTGCTGCCCTTAGTCCTGCTGCTGGCCCAACTGATGAAACTAAGAAACTCCAAACTTAACCTGCGCTTCCTCTCTCACCAATAATGCTCGGCTCAACTCCGCATCGATATAAACGTCTATACTTAATATGGCCACCCGAACAATCATTCTCTAAGCTGTTGTGGACTAAGAAATTGGCCGAGGGCAAGTCCTCTCCCTCTCCCTTGCGCTTGGAAGATGAAGTTGGCACAATGGGGCATCATGCACAAGCAAGTAAATACGCACCACTCTTAAATGGGACGCAAGTTATCTTCCCTGGTATTATGTGGTAGCAGATCATAATCAAAGCCTGAAGGTTTTGTAACGAGCAAGCCGGTGTCAGATTGCACCTCAAGGCACTGGCACCTCCCGGCGGCTCGATTCTCGTCCCAACAGTCCATGATCCCAGAGCGTCGTCGGTGCAAGAAAGTGTTTCTCTCCTGCCCCTTCAACCCACCGTCGACCCTTTCACTGCACTCGACTGCAACTCCATGGAAGGTCCTCCCCCTCGACGTACCTCGCTGTCTGAGCGCTCTACCATTAAATTGCCTCGGCGTCGATGCTCTGCCCCCCACTCCCCCACAGCTCAAAAACTCGCACACGCTCCACGGACCGGGCGTCTCAACAGGGCGTGAGGGACGGAGGGGGCGAAGGGCAGAACGAGAGCAACAAGTCCACGCACCAAGTCTGAGCCGAGCCGAGCCGAGCGAAGCGAGACAACGTCTTAGTGCAATGCAAGAGAGCAACGATGGTGAAATGTTCAACCCACCGGTCAGATTACGAAGAGTGAGAGGAGATAATAATGAGTGACAACAGCTTCCGCTCTCGTAGACGACGCTCACATTACTACGACTGATGCATTGTCCGCATCACATGGAAATCTGGTACGACCCCCGACCCCGGAACTCCACAGTCCGCAGTCCACCTCGCTCCCTTACGCGCTCACCTTTCTCTTCAATGAAAACTCCGTCCTCCCCTGAATCGTCCCATTTCCCAAACCCGGCGCAATGCACCACCACCCAACTCACTCACTCGCTCTATCAATCAAGCACTCACTCGCTCACTCACTCCACGAAAACTGGACCGAACCGCGATGGGCGGCTGCTCCCGTTTCCCTTGAGGTCCCGGCGTGGGGCCATGCCATGCCATGCGACGACCGGAATCTGCAGTTTACGATTACGAGGAGAAGCAGGAGCAGCAGAAGTAGAAGGTGAAGCCGAAGCCGCCGAAGCGCCGATGGACGCGGGGCCTTTGGTTCTGGGCCCCACGGCGTCACCTTTCGGTATTTTCAACGACGTTGAACTCACTCACGAGCTCCGTCCCGATTCTCGTGAGATTTCTCGCCCATTGCTGCCTCGCCCCGTGATCAATCCACTGTCCGCCTTTTACGTCTTTCCATCTATCTCATCGATTGCCTGCCCGGACGCATTATCTTCCCCCCGAGATTTGACTCGGAGTCGCCTCTTTTGGCGGCGCTCCCTGGCTGTAGCTTTATCCTCCTGAATTAGCTGAGAGTAAACGGACCGTAGTCAACTTCGTGACTGTTACATTCCGATGTGGTCGAGGA